CGGGAATCTTCTAGAACTCTTTCCGCCAGGATGAGAACGGGGAGAGGATATAATTAGGTTTGGGGGGACGTGGGTGAATCTGTGGGAAGTAGATTCCTGAAAAGGATACGAGGAGGTGTTGGGGAGGGTTGGGGCAGCTTGATATTCCAGAGTGTGACTGAGTCTTTGCCCAGAAAGCCCAGCGTGGGTACTGCAGGCACCTGGACCTTGCCTGTGTGAGTTCTGGGCTGGAGCTGGCCTGGGCATCATATGTTTCTGTGTCTCATGAGCTATCTGTCACAAGTGTCCCTTGCCCTCGAGATCCAAGATCTCTAGAAGCAGAAGGCTTGGGGACAGCAGGTGGCACAGTGGTCCTTGCAGCGTTGGCTTTCAGCAGTGTGTTTACAGGGGCCTGGTCTCAGTTAATGGGCAATGATGACAGGGCTGTTTCTTGACAAAGAGCCTTCTTTAATTTCATTGTTATTGCTCCTAAAGTTTGAGTTTTTTTTTTTAAGACAGGGTCTCACTCTATCACCCAGGCAGGAGTACAGTGGCAAGATCATAGCTCACTGCTTGAATCTCCTGGGTTCAAGCAATCCTCCCAACTCAGCCTCCTGAGTAGTTGGGATCACAGGCATGGGCCACCAAGCCTGGCTAATTTTTAAATTTTCATAGAGATGGGGTTGTGCTGTGTTGCCCAGGCTGGTCTTGAACTCCTGGCCTCAAGTAATCCCTTGGCTTTGGCCTCTCAAAGTGTTGGGATTAGCGTATGAGCCACTGTGCCTAGTCAAAAAGCAGTTTTTAATTGTTACTTTGTTCAAGTCTGGATCTAAATGAGTCTGCTAATTGGCAATGCCTATGGTCTGAACTACTTGGGAGGCTGAGGTGGGAGGATTGCTTGAACCCAGGAGGTCGAGGCTGCAATGAGCTATGATTGTGCCACTGCACTCCTGCCTGGGTGACAGAGCCAGACCCTGTCTCTTCTGTCCCTTTTAGTGTAGGAAAGTCCTGCCACTTTGAAGGAGTACTTCTCCCTCCATGCTGTTGACCTGAAGACCAGTTGTTCTCTGCAATTTCCACATACCTGCTTTAAGTTAATTACACCAATGTGTAATTAATCTCACCTGCAATGTCCACATACAGGTGGGATTACACTGGCTAATTACTAATTGCTCCCCAGTGGTGTAATTAATTTGATCCTCTGCCTGCTGTATCTTTTCTATTTTGGAAGTTAGGTGGAAAGGTTTGATGATATTTATGGTCTCTATTTGGTGGTGTTGGGAGAGACAGAAATACTTCCTGGTGATCTAGTTACCATATCATATCAGGAGATGCTATGGACTGAGTGTGTGTCCCCCCACCAGATTCATATGTTGAAGCCCTAACTCCCAACGTGGTGGTATTTGGAGGTGCATCGTGTGGGAGGTAACTAGATTTAGATGAAGTCATGAG